TGTCATTGAGGCTTTGACAAGCTCGTCTTTGGTTTCCCTGCCCCAAACCTTCTTACCCCGTAGCAGCAGCCATGACGCAACCGCCCTGGGATGCCGTGGCCTCAACGCAGCATCCCTCAGGGTCGTGGCTCATGCCGAAGTTGTGGCCGATTTCGTGGGCCATGGTGGCGGCCGCTCCAATGGGCAGTTCCGAATGGTCCTGGGACAGAGGATTGTGGTCATCATTTTTATTATCATCATCGCCTAATTCATACCCTGCCCTCCGCCAGGAGGTCCCAGGGCTGTGACAATTCAATCAAAACTAAAACAGGTTACAATCCCAGGAATTTTTTTGGTGGGTTCCCTGAAAACACACAGCGAGGGGGAAAACGTACCGTATTTTTCTCTCTATAACACGCAGATTTTTTCTCCTAAAAAGGAAGGGTAAATGTCTGTGCGTGTTATTGAGCGAATGTGTGGTCCCTGGAGCCGACTGGTGCGAGTGGAGGCAAAAATCAGATCGCGCATCTCGGAGAAGGGAAACCTTTAGCTTTGATTCTCGCATCGAAGGGGGTTGGACTAGATGACCTTTGCGGTTCCCTTCCAACCCTACAGTTCAAAGATTCTCCAATATCTGGGGCCTTTTCCCTGCAGATTTGGGATGGGAACCCCCAAGACACCAAGACCGGCGGCTAACTGAGGTTGCACCTGGCAGAACCCGACTCTTCCTTCCCCCCCCCCAGGCGAAGCGCCTCTTGCTCCCAAGGAGAAAGAGGATAATTTTGCACAGTTGAAGGAGAAGCTGTTGAGCAGCTTTCACCAACCAACCAGATTGCCATCCTGTCGCTTCAAGCTACAACTCCTGAAATATACTCGGAGTGGAGTGTGGATTTCATGCTCTTTATTCAGCTCATAGTGGTGAGGAGGAATGGAAGTTCTCCCAGAATGTCTGCTTTATATACATTATTTACACAATGGGCCCCATTTGATTGGCTAATTCCAGGATTCTCCTGTAGGCCAATCAGGTTGCGGATTCACTTCCACCTGGAGCTGGATTGGGTGGCTCCTGTGGACCAATCAGACTGCTGCATTCTGGATCCTATTGTTCTAGGACAAATCAGACTGCTGCATTCTGAATCCTATTGTTCTAGGACCAATCAGACTGCTGCATTCTGAATCCTATTGTTCTAGGACCAATCTGACTGCTGCATTCTGAATCCTCTTGTTCTAGGACCAATCAGACTGCTGCATTCTGAATCCTATTGTTCTCGGACCAATCAGACTGCTGCATTTTGGATCCTATTCAACTCAATACATAACAACTCCCATCAGCCCCAGCCAGCTGATGGGAGTTGTAGTCCAAAACAGCAACCAGGTTGCGGAAGACAGCTCTAGATAGCAAGCGGAGGATGGCGGAGACACGATCTTGTCCTTACCATGTTCACCCCGCCAGAGTTTTCCGCACTGCACATTCCCTCCAGCGGCGCCATCCCAATGGTCGTCCCAACAAAGGTCATCCCGCTGTGGAGACAGGAAAGGGAAGGGGGAAAACAGAGGGAAGAGACCTGGGGTCGGTTTTTTAGGTTTCTTGCAACATGCAGTCAGTAGCAGTGGTTACATAACTTTCTGACCACTGCTCCATAGCTATTGTTGTTATACAATTCCATTCACCATATAGATGGAGTATGTACTTTTGATTTTATATTGAATTGGCATTATAGTTCATGTGTAGAAAGGTAAAGGTAAAGGGACCCCTGACCATTAGGTCCAGTCACTGCTGACTCCCACCACTGCGGTGGGAAGGTAAACGGCGTTTCCATGCACTCTGGCTTCCGTCATGGTGTCCCGTTGTGACGAAAGTGGTATAGTCCTGCTGGCCACATGACCCGGAAAGCTGTCTGTGGACAAACGCTGGCTCCCTCGGCCTGAAAGCAAGATGAGCACTGCAACCCCATAGTCGCCTTTGACTGGACTTAACCATCCAGGGGTCCTTTACCTTTACCTTTACCTAACCTTACCTCTTCCACTTTAAATGTCAGTATTCCCTGGGAAGGGATGGTTTGAATCTGTGGTGTGGGTGTGCCTCTGAGCCCATTTGCCACCTCAGTGAATACTGGGAACTGTAGTTTGCTAAGGGTGCTAGGGATTTGTAGATCCACGAGGGTTAAGCTACAGTTCCCAGGATAAATGGGAAAACGCAATCCATAACAACACACACTGCGGCTGGAAAACTGCATTGCAAAATTCAGAGAAGCGCAAATTCTGGAGGATAGCTGCGTTTTGGTTCACGTACCGGTTTGGAAAAAATAATAATAATGGGTGGATCATTTCATTAAAATGTCGGGGAAATGCCCTACACACACACACAACCTGCCCCCTAGCATGAGCCAGCTTATCGATGGCTGCTTCTGAAACGACGACTCACGTCAGCAGCTGGGCGTTGTCATGCTTCTTCCGAGCCTTCAGAGACTTTTTCCACTGCAGGAAGGACATGAGTGAGGCGTGAGCATCGCTGCTCAAGCTGCACTGGTCCCTCTCGGTCCAGACCTCAAGGCCGATCAGGGCCACTTTGATATTCAGGGACCTGTAAAACTGGGGAAGAGGAGCAGGAAGAGAGGAGGAGGGTTAATAATAATAATAATAATAAAAGTAATAGTAATACCTCGGGTTGAATGTGCTCGGGTTGAGTGCGTTCGAGTTGCGCTCCGCGGCAACCCAGAAATAATGGAGCGCGTTACTTCCGGGTTTCGCCGCTTGCACATGCGCAGACGCTCAAAATGACGTCACACGTGTGCACAGAAGCGGCAAAAAGCGACGCACGCGTGCGCAGATGTGCCATCACTAGTTACGTTTGCTTCTAGATGTGAATGGGGCTCCAGAACGGATCCTCCAGAACGGATCTAGAGGTACCACTGTAATGGACCCATAGTTCACCTGCAAGATCACCTTGCCCATTTGACTACAGTCATACCTCGGGTTACAGACGCTTCAGGTTGCGGTTTTTTGGGTTGCAGACCCACCAAAACCCGGAAGTACCGGAACGGGTTACTTCCGGGTTTCAGCGGTCGCGCATGCGCAGAAGAGCTAAATTGTGCTTTGTGAATGCGCAGAAGCGCCGCGTCGCAACCCACGTGTGTGCAGATGCGCAGATGTCGGTTGCGAACGCTGCAGGCTGCGAACGTGCATCCTGCACGGATCACCTTCACAACCCAAGCGTCCACTGTACTTCAATCTGTAGAGCTGGCCCTGTTACAGGTGCCAGATAATACCCCACTCTGCATTTGTAAGAAATCAATCTTTCAGTGTGGCAGCACCTCTGGAACTCACCGCCTATTGAGGCAATTTCACTGTACACTTTCTGGCACCTGCTAAAGGCCTCTTTGTTTCTCAGGCAAGCCTCCCTGGACATTATTAGCATTGCTTTGTATTAAATTTGTATACCACCCTTCGTTCGAAGATCGCAGGGCGGTTCACCAAGTAAAAATGCAATATGCATTTTAAAACCAATAACCTCCCCCCCCCCCAAAAAAAACCACATGTTGGCGTATGTTTTAATCTGCTCTTAGTTTATTGCGGATTTTGTCTTTTGCAAGTTTTAAAGAGTTCATAAGAGTTTGAAGGGACCACTGGGGTCATCTAGTCCAACACCCTGCAAGGCAGGAGTCTTTTGTCCAGTGTGGAACTCGAACCCATAACCTTGAGGTTAAGAGCCTCATGCTCTAACTGACAGATATCCTGGCTTCCAGTTGTTTTTACTGATAGTTTTATTGGCTTGTTCTCTTTGTAAGCTGCTTGGAGGGTTTTGCCGTGTATAACTTTACTATACGAAATAAATAAGCGTGCTGTTAGCCCCCCAACACTGTTAAGTCAGGCATCATAATAATAATTAATAATAATCAATTTTTATTTATACCCCGCCCCTCCCGGTTCAGAAAACTGGGCTCAGGGTGGCTAACAACAAATTTAAACACTTAATTATAGAAGCAGCAGAAAATACAGTATAAAAACGTGAATAACAATAAAATTCAAAGTTCAGAAATCAATTTGGGGGAAATCCATCTAATAAGCATTAGATAGGTCACCAGGGCTAGCTGGCTGAACTGGTCCTACTTGGACCAGCGAGGAGGCCAGGGGAGAATTAGCTGTGAGGTCTCAGAGTGGGTGATCTTCATAAAAGGGGAGGGGGAAGGAAGAGAAGGGAAATAAAAGAGAAGGCTGAAATCAAATTAAAGGCCAGGCAGAATAGCTCTGTCTTACAGGCCCAATGGAAGGAGGTTAAATCCTGCAGGGCCCTAGTCTCATGGGACAGAGCATCCCACCAGGTCAGAGCCACCACTGAGAAGGCCCTGGCCCTGGTGGAGGATAGTCTGACTTCCTTAGGGCCCGGGACCTCTATACTATGGTTATTCATGGACCTGAAGGTCCTCTGCGGGGCAGACCAGTAGAGGCGGTCCCGTAAATATGAGGGCCCTAAGCCTATGGTCCTCCACAACCCCCTGGGACTGGCGGCTGGTCCATTAGGGCAGGTGGGGCCCTGCCCCACTAATCTCAGTGCGCCAGCCCCACCTGCTTAACTTTTCCTTTACATCCAGCCCAGACGGCCAGCTTCCCCTTCCATAGTCTCTGCACTGGCCTTGTAGAACTCATCCCGAAGGAAGAGGACTAAACCAGAATTTCTTGGCTTGGGCTCTCATTGCCTCTGGCGCCACCTAGTGTTGGACTCCCTGCCTCCTGCCCTACCAGGTCTGATTTGCACCAGCCACCACTGCTGTGGACTACCACTCCCAGCAGACCTGACCACCGCTCCCTGATCATTGGTGGGGCTGATGGGAGTCATAGTGCAAAACACCCGGAGGGCACCAGTTTGGGGGCAGCTTGGTCTGCGCTGACTTATAGCACCTCTTCAGGTTTCAGAATGGAGCGGTCCTCAATTAGCTCGGCTGGTAAGAGTGCTGTGCTGATAACACCAAGGTTATGGCCTGATCCTGATCAAATCATAGGAAAGCTGCAATGCTGGAATATGCAGCTGTCCCTTCCGGGATCGAACCTGCAACCCTGGCGTTGTCAGCATCATGCTTTAACCCACCGAGCTATCCAGCTCCAGGGCTCTTTTCATGGGCTTATGTCCTTGATGTTCAGAATAGGTAGCTGTGGATAACCCAAGTTTTGCTGATTGTCTCTATTACCTTGTCTACGTAATTCGCGATCTCCAAGATCCGTTGCTTGGTGTGCCCCAGATTTTGCTTTTGAGATGCAAACTGGGAAGGAGGCGGTGGAAGAGAAAGGGGAAAGGGAGAAAAAGAGAGGCAAAGGAACAAATTTAGGGACATTTCTTAAGCCGAAACTAACACACACTGCTGGATGCTCTTTGAAGAATTACTTCCCCCACGATGCATGGAATGACTGCGCTTAAATTCAGAAGGATCTGTCTTCATCCAAACCAGCAGGTCCCAAACTTTATCAAGCCTTTGGTTCCTTAAACTCACCCCCAGTTCCCCCTACCCTAGAAGAAGCATTATTCAGAATAGCAGTTTGCATGACCTGGTAAGAATTATTATTATATTTGTATACCACCTTTCATCTGTAGACCTCAAGATGGTTCACAACATAAAAATACAAGGTAAAAACACAAAATACATGATGAAAACAAGAACAATACAATACAATACAGTACAATAACCCCACTTCCTTGGATGAAGGGAAGTATATAGATAATAAAAGTAACAACAACAACAACACATTCAAAGCATTCCCCCAAGAATCCTGGGTACAAAAAAATTCAAAATACACTTTTGAAATTCAAAACACACTTTTAAAATTCAAAGCAGTCACAGCTGATTCACACTTATTCAGAATCTAATTGACACCAATCACTTTAACTCATTCAACAAATTCGATCCAATCCCACTGCCCCATTGGGGGGGAAGTACCTCCCACTTTTGGGAACGACCGTTCCAGACCATCCTTCACCTGCCTGGTGCTTTCCTGGTGTAGTTCTGGACTACAACTCCCATCATCCCCAGCCATCGCTGATGGGAGCTGGCAGCCCAAAACATCTGGGAGGGACCAGGTTGGAACAGGTGGACGTCAACAACAGCAGAAGACTTGTCCTGCTTGTGGTCTTGCCAGGGGTTGGGAAAAGAGGACACTGGACCTGACCTGAGATTTGGACATTCAGGAAGCTTCATGAAGCCCCTGGCTCTCCAATGATCTCCAAGATTCAGTGCAGCATTGAGGACCACCTCTCCTCATTCTCTCCTACCTAGGACCACCGGAAGTCCTGATGTTTCTCCAAGCACAGGAGAGCAGGGCTCCTGCTCAATCCTGGGCCATCTCTAGGGGGAAAGACACACTCCCCAGCAGAAAGCTGGAAAATGCATTTGTGGACCCTCGTATCTTGCCACTTCTCATGAAGCATTGTGCGCCACAAAGCCAGGCTAAGGGCACATAGGTTGGCAAGATCTGGGCTGCTGGGAAGGTGGGCTTTGGAGTCTCTGCATGGCTGGACCACTCAGTTCACAGAGGAATTGTACGAAACCCTCTTTCTACCCATGCTAGCTGACAGCAATGTGATGTATGGAAGTGAGAGCTGGACAATAAAGAAGGCTGATCGCCGAAGAATTGATGCTTTTGAGTTATGGTGCTGGAGGAGACTCTTGAGAGTCCCATGGACTGCAAGAAGATCAAACCGATCCATTCTGAAGGAAATCAGCCCTGAGTGCTCACTGGAAGGACAGATCCTGAAGCTTAGGCTCCAAGACTTTGGCCACCTCATGAGAAGAGAAGACTCCCTGGAAAAGACCCTGATGTTGGGAAAGATGGAGGGCACAAGGAGAAGGGGACAACAGAGGACGAGATGGTTGGACAGTGTTCTCGAAGCTACAAACATGAGTCTGACCAAACTGCGGGAGGCAGTGGAAGACAGGAGTGCCTGGCGTGCTCTGGTCCATGGGGTCACGAAGAGTCGGACACAACTAAACGACTAAACAACAACAACCTGACAGCAAAAATTCTCACCAGGGTGTAGTCTGCAACAATGAAGAGCTCCATGTATTTCAGGGTTCTCCAGGCATCTCTCCTTTTCTGAAAGACAAATTTGCTCAGTGTCACCAGGAAGGAAGGTATTAAGGAAGGAAAAGCAACTATTGTTGTGATGCATGCCAGGGCCAGATTAAGACCTTTAGAGGCCCTAAGCACTGAAAAGATTTTGGTGTCCTCAGATATGTCTCATTCAAAATATTAACAAGAAACCGTAAAATAAAATTTTATTTTTCAAAACCTACAGTACAATGGAAAATAATGTTCATTTTGGTATAGGTGGATTTCGGTGGTGCTAACCTAAATTTCTGGTATATGGTTGAATCATTTCCATGAATTACTGGCACAGCCTGGACACGACTTGCGACCCGGGAGCCAGACCAGGGTTCAAATCCTCGCTCAGTCACGAAGCTTGGTGGCCAACCTTGGCCAGCCACTGCCTCTGAGTCTGACCTACCTCAAAGGGTTGTTGTGGAGTGGGAGAGAGCTAGGGGTGGCCACCTTGAGCTCTGGAAAGGTTTCGTTTTTTAAAAAAATTATTTAATCATTTTTTCAATACAAACAACAACCGCAAAAGACACATACAACAAAACCCATAACAAGACTAATAACACAATTTGACAATTCAGATTTGAATACACTGATATACCTATGACTACACCTTTTTAACGATATTTCCCCACCTCTCCTCCCCCTACTTCCCACCACTATCCGCCTCTTATCACTTAAATATTCCTTCCAGATTTCTTCATATTTATCCGTTCTTAATTTGCGTCGACATGCAATTCATTCGTATGTAGCTAATCTGTCCATATTATCAATCCATGTGCTCAATGGAATCTTTTTGAGGCTCTTCCAATTCATCAAAACAAGTTTTTTTGCTTCTAATATAGCACGGTACATCCATTTATTTATTTTTGACCACTTGTAATCTCCCACGTTTCCGGAATATAATTTAGAATTCAATTCAATTCCCTTATCCTTGCCGGAAAGGTGAGATGAACAAAAACCTGTTAGCTTCCAAATCTGGGATGCTGCCCTGTCCACTTATCGCGCGCAAAGGCTTACCCGCTGATGTGCAGGCGGTTTGAAGGACCGGGCGATATCGGCTACGCTGCTTTGCATCTGGTCACCGTGCCCACAGGTCCCGCCTTTGATTGGCAGGTGTTCTGCCCTATAGACGACGTGAGGCTCAGAGTCCGGGCTGGCTGGGGGTTTCAGGTAGTAGCTATCGTTGTGGTTGAGCGTGATCAGGCCACTGGTGGAAGAACAAAAGAGTGAGATTGGAACAACAGCCGCCATCTTTAACAAAGAGTCTGGGGAATTTATAATTCATCTTGGAGACCACTGTAAGCAGATGAAAACATTAGCAGGGTTGCAATAGCACTTGTAACTTAGCAAATACTATGGAGATGATGGAGTAATATAAAAGATGGACTACTGGATAATATGCAGTTGAAAAGGTTGATAGTAGGACCCACGGAGGGGAAAGTGGGAAGTCCAGAGATTGGGAGGGATCTGTAAAGATGGATGACTACGGTTGTATTATTATAATTTTATACTTGTAAAACCAAATAAAAATTATTTCAATTCAAAATCATCATCATCATCTTACAATGACATGAAACCTCCTGCAGCTGCTATTATTATTATTATTATTAAAGTTTTTAATGTTTGATGTTTTATCGTGTTTTTAATATTCTGTTGGGAGCCGCCCAGAGTGGCTGGGGAAACCCAGCCAGATGGGTGGGGTATAAATTCTTCTTCTTCTTCTTCTTCTTCTTCTTCTTCTTCTTCTTCTTCTTCTTCTTCTTCTTCTTCTTCACCACCCACCCCTCACCCTAAGGCCTCTGGGCAGGTTACAACATTAAAACACAATATTAAAAACCGTTTAAAGAAAAGAACAACAGCCGTGATCACGACAGAAATGTCACAAGGTGACTTGTGCAGGTGTTATGCAGCTCCTATAAACAGTGCCGGTTGTGCATATCTAGGTGCATATGGAGCAAGGCGATCTCATAGATAAACAGGTCCAAAGTTGCTAAGGACTTTATACTGTGGTACTTTGGGTTACAGACACTTCAGGTTACAGACTCCGCTAACCCAGAAATAGTACCTCGGGTCAAGAACTTTGCTTCAGGATGAGAACAGAAATTGTGCTCCGGCGGCGCGGCAGCAGCTGGAGGCCCCATTAGCTAAAGTGGTGCTTCAGGTTAAGAACAGTTTCAGATTAAGAATAGACCTCCAGAACGAATTAAGTTCTTAACCCAAGGTACCACTGTGTATAAGGGACGCGGGTGGCGCTGTGGGTTAAACCACAGAGCCTAGGACTTGCTGATCAGAAGGTCGGCGGTTCGAATCCCTGCGACAGGGTCGCACCTGGTCCTTCAGGGGCACAATTACCCCATTCAGGACCAGGGAGTCCCCCACACCCACCTACCCTGTCCCCCAAAAACAGTACTTCTGTCTTGTCAGGATTCAACCTCAATCTGTTAGCCGCCTTCCATCCTCCAACCGCCTCCAGACACTCCACAAGCAATCGTTTCTCCACCGCCTGCAAGCTCACCTGCATTTTTAAACCACAGATGCCCATGAACCTGGAGCTTTCACCACTGCAAAGCAAACCCTGCGTGGCTCGGAATTTTGGTGGGCGAGATGGCAGGAGACAAGACTAAAGAACGGGACTCAAACACGGGGAGACTCAGGACCAAAAGCTCAACTCAGCCATGAAGCTGAATGCAAAAGATACTGCCCAGTCCCCACATCTCAGCCAAGTCCACCTTGCAGGGCTGGTGTTTCTGCAAGGCAGGCAGCAGGGAGCTAGGTCAAGACAAAGCAAACGATGAATACATTCACCCAGCCTGCACATTCCAGTCCTAAAACTTTGTTTTTCCCCGAACTATGTTGTTCTGGCCTTCCACAATTACTCCAGGGGAAAGGAATGTCTGTGCTTCTGTTGTGGCTGGCCTGAGTTTACCACTCTGTAAGCCGGACGGGGATGGGCATGGGGTGCAAGCTTGCCGAAGATGCCTCAGAGATTTGGTCCGCCCCACAGCTCCCTCTT